GCCAGTGAGAGGGAACCGGTCTGTATGTGGGATCCGAACCCTCGGGCGGGAGCGCTGCCGCGCTTCCCAAGCGGCGCACCTATCCAGTGCGCCACCGGGCCGGCCCTAGTAGTATTTATTAAAATTGAAAAATGTGTACTCTTTGGCCCAGAAATTCTACTTCCTTGTAACTGCCCTAGAAAAATACTCCTATTTGCATGCAATTAAGTTTGGGCAGGTATTTCCACTGTTGTATTGTTTGTAATAGCAAAAACTTTAATTAACATAAATGTTTAGCAACAGAACAGTTAGGTTAGAGGTTGCAAATTGGTGGCTCTTGGGCTAAATTGTCCTGCAGGTGTCTTGTGTTTAGCCTGAACAGCATTTTAGAATCTTGAATTAGGTGCCAATATTAAAAAATCAGATTTATGTTGTAAAAATACAGATTTTCAAATGCTTTTAAAACACGAATTCTGTATCCTTTGGTTAAGTTAACAATCCTTGTCTATGTAAGTAGCTGCTACTGCTTAGAAAAAAAACACACCTGCTCCACTTTGTCACTTTACCCATTTGTTATCTGCATAGCCCCTGTAGACACTGGAGTTTGGGACCCTGGCAGATGAGTTATGGCTCAGCTAAGTAAAGGAATGTACAGGCAGGCCTGTTAGCTCAGTTGGTTAGAGCACAGTGTTATAATACCAAGCAAGGTCAAGGGTTCGGTTCCCCTATACCACCAGCCACCAAAAAAAAAAGTATATAACGAGGTGTAAAGTTACACAAGTACTCCAGTTGTCTGGTTAGGTAACTCATGACTAAAGCCAAAATGTTTCGTTATTCTAGTTATACTAAGTTTCCACGGCTAGGGCTCAGACCTCTCAAACCCACTGTACAGACTGGGTCACTAGACCCCCTCAGATGCCAGGTTGGGTCACCAGACCCCTCACATGCAGGTCCAAGTTAGGTAACTGGGAAAGATCCCGGGAGCCATGTGGCAGACGACACAAGCTCAGTCCTCAGCAACGGCGGCAGCAGCAGCTTACAGGTCTGGTGGTGGCTTTGCGGAGGGTCTCAGGGGCCCTGGCAGCGACAGCCTCCAACAGCAGTAGTGGCCTCGCTGTGCCCCCCTGGGGGCATCTGAGGGGGGCGGAGGGGAACTGTGGATCAGAGCCACTCATCCTTTATACTTAAGTCCATAACCCAGGACACCTGGGTGCACATGAGCAATTACATTAGACAATAACCAAGGAACACCTGGGTGCATGTGCATATTTACATCAAATGCTTGGCAAGATTCTAAACATTTGAAGGGCTCTGACCATTTTCCTGTATTTTCCCAACACGAGGTAAATACAATGTAGTAGATATACATGCAGTGGGGTGGAAAGATTCCCAGGTCATATTGTTGAGTGAAAAAAAAGCAAGATGCAGAAACTGTTATGTATAAGACAATATCATTTCTGTAAACAAGTTACATACTTGCATATATATACTAGAAAGTAAACTCTATAAGTCAGGGATTTTCCTCTATTTTGCTTATTGCTATGTTCCTAGTGCCTAGAACAGTGCCTGGCACATATTAGGTACCCAGTTTATATTTGTTGAGTGAATACAAATGTATAAATACATAGAAGAAGGTTTTGGTGGATACAAACTAAATAGGAGTGATTCATTCTGTCAAGGGACTGGGATTTGGGAGAGGTGGTGGTTAAGGGAGATTTTTGTTTTTGTTTTGTATATTTTGACTCTTACAGGAGTACGTAATATTGTATTACTTGCATATTTTTAAAAAGAAAGCAAACCCAGTACAAAATACGACAGGTGTTCAAACCAAGATTCAAGCTAGTCTAAACTGAAACCATCCAGAGAAAAATGAAAGCGGATAAAAATAAACTTCTGCATTTACGAGTAGAAAAGGTAATTCAAAATATTTAACCACCAGCTCCTTATCAACCAGCAGGGTGATGAGTCAGCTGGAGACAGTGATGAAATCTAGCCCACTCTGGACCTGAGGGGGTTCCATCTACAACCAACCTTCCCTGGTATACCTTCAGATTTTCGTTTTTGTTCTTTCATTTCTGTGTTCACAAGTTCATGAAGGCCTTGGATACAATGTATAGAGAAGAAGGTGTCCATCTTGGTAAGTTTTTTAAAAGGAAAAAGAAAAGGCATCAAGAAGCTGGGGTAGGTAGTAGCAAAGACAGGAAAAGAGAAGATCTTTAAGGCTAGCGTTTGGAGATCAGATATTTCTCCTCAAAGGGAGGATAAGCCCGGCTCAGGTTTGAGGCATCCAGAATAGGTTGGTCTCATCGGTCAGAGCCGTTCAGAGCAAAGAAACACCCGCAGGGGCCTTTTCAGTACTATGTTTGGAAGCACCTCTTCTCACTCCAGGTCTGCCTATCATCACACAGCCTTCCCTTTTATCCTCAAGGTTTGTGGTCAAGCACTTGTCACTGCCCCCGGGAGGATATTCAGAGCTGTACAGAGACAGCAGGAGCAAAGACACGTGGAGCGGAATCTGACTCTGATGGGTACAGAAGTCTTCTACCCGCTTCCGCGGTGGCAGATGTCGGAGAGGTTAGGACAGATCCCAATAGTGTGGCTGGCTACAAGCAAACTCTGTCCACCACGAAGACACAGGATAGGAGCCCCCAAGTGTGACTACCCATGGTCGCCGGGTCCCCCTGCTCGGCTGTGAGGGGACCACAACTGGGCTGTTCCCACGCGGCAGGGCGGCTCGGCCTATTTCCCAGCACCCGCGTTCTTGCCCGCACCAGGCCCAGGACGGTCCTCTCCTGGCGCTCCTGGCAACGGTGCTCTACAATCCCTCTGCCCAGCGGTCACACCCGACGGCCCCTGGAGACGCGGAGGACTGGGCCAGGCAGGGCCCCCACCTCACAGTAGGTAAGCGGCCGGCCCGGAACCCCTCGGCCCTCGTACACTTCCGCCGGAAGTGGGTCTTGCCGCGGGCATGCGCTGACATCACGAGTCCGCCAGACGTCTCCGGGCGCGCCCTGGAGGCTCCGGCGGGCTGCGGCTGTCGGTTGGCTGAGCTTGGCGGTAAGGCCGCCTCCTCGGGGCTCTCTGACACCCCCGCCGGCCCAGGGCTGTTGGTCTTCTTGTCTGACCCTCCCTGCCCCCGTGTCCTACCTCCTCCCCGTCCGAGGTCCGGGCGCCCCCGGTGTCCCCTCCAAGCCGGCTGCACCCTGCCTCTTTCTAGCCGGGCTCCGGCCCTGGGGGGGTAACTCCGGCCAGGCCCACCCGCCTGGAGCCTGTGATGTAGATTAGCCTCGGGAGGCCCTCCGTTATCCAGAGTGGGGGCCTCAGGAATAGAGATAGGGATAGACCCAAGGCTACCTACCGGCTTGGCCTATTTCTTCCTAATTTGCTGTTTCGCCCGATGTCTTATAACTCGTTCACAGTGGCTGGGGATCAACATCGCCCCTTCCAAATTGTTTTCCACGATGTGTTCTCCCGCTAACTCCTGCTGAGTCCTATTCTGTTTTATTACGTGAGTGTTGAATTGATCTGTCTCTGCAGCCAGATCCAGCCTCCTGGAGGAATCATGTCTCCTGCAGGTTTTGGGTGCCACCTGGTGTGCCAGGTACACACCGTTGCCCAAGAGGAGCTGCTTTTTGAATTCTTCGTGAATGTTGGGAGGAGGAATGCCAGAGCTGCCAGCTGAATATTATCCAACCAGGAGAAATATGTAGGCTGGGGACCCTGAATCACTTTGTGAGGATTGCTGCTCTTAAACTTTAACTGTTTATTCTGTTTTAAGTCATGAATAGTCTCTCGTTTGGTTATCTTGGTTGGAAGTCCTGCCCGAATCATATCTGCTAGGGGCAAAAGTAAACATTTGAAGCTTCTTAACACAAACCTGTGTGTTGACTGTGGTACTGGTGGGTGATCCCTGATGGTTTTGGCCACTGTCCTGGAGGGATGCTTCATAGGACACATGCCTGATCTTGGGTGTGGGGCCTCTGACTGCCCCTAGCAGGTGCTTATTCTGACGGCATTGTCAGTAGGCTCTTTTGTGTGCATTCTGTATTAGTATCTGTGTGAACATTTAAGGAAGTAGAAGAATGATTTGTTGCTGGGGGGAAGGAAGGTGGATGCGTTTTCTTTCTCACTTAATTTTGGAACTTGTGGGCAGGAGATGCCGCAGAATGTTAGATTAGGAAACTTCATCTTTAAGGAGAGAGCTCAGGACCATGTGGGAGGTCCCACCGAGGGGCAGACAGTAGGGCTCTGCGGCATGTACTTGAGGGCTGATGAATTCTGTTTTGGGAACCATTTAGGGAGTTGATGTCTGAGAATATGTGCCATGGAATAACCCCCTCAGTAACAGATAGTCACCCTCGTTCTGTTCCTCTGTAGCCCCCAGGATGGACTTTCTGGTTCTCTTCTTGTGCTACCTGGCTTTGGTGCTGATTGGTGTTGTTATGATCTGCATCTGCTCAAAAACCCATCACTTGAAAGGCCTGGTCAGGAGAGGAGAACAGGTAACAATGATCCTTGGATACCATTGAATTTTAAGTACTGAGCTAGTCTAAAAGACTCACTGGTTTCCTGACAGGACAAAAAAGAGATGCTGTTTAAATTCATTGGCTCATTTATTTTTTATTTATGTCAGTCATATATTCCAAAGTCTCTGTTTTTGTTTTGTTACTGCTGAATGTAATCTTGGGATGATGCTTTGAGATAAGATAGCATTTTCAAGATTGGCCATTTTCCTCTGGGTTTGATGCCTGTAAATGGTCATGGATGTGAGCAGTGTCTGCTTGGAGGGGCTTGATGGGTAAAACTGGAGCATGAGCAGAATGCTGAGCATGGTGCTCCCAGCCCTCCTTCAGGGATCAGAGTGAGCAAAATAGGGACAAACAGCCATGGGAAGGGGTTGACTTGGGAGAGATCCAGGCTAATGCCCAGTAATCTGGAGGTGGATTCTGGAAACTGAGATTGAACCCCGGGCATGGGAAGGAGCAGCCTTCACATTAACATTCCCTGATCCATCCCCTCTGCTTGCCTTCCTTTCCCTGAAGACCCTGACAGGGCAGAGTAGACATGGAAAGTTAACGTCAAAGGAAGGCCAGTACACGGAGGTCGTTCTCTTTATTCTCTCTTAAATCGCTTCTCTGCTCATATGTGGAAACAAACTTAGCATCACCAGTATTGCCAGGTGTGTGTGGTGCATCTCATTTGTTTGGGAGTTGGGGGCAGGAGGGGACGAGAAATGAAACTGAGTCATTCCCTTTTCTTTTGTTTCAGATATTTTCCTGTATAATCCCAGAATGCCTTCAGAGAGCCATGCAAAGATTGCTTCATTACCTCTTCCATTCGCGGTATTTATATTTCAGAGTTTCACTGTCATCCTCTTTTCTGTTTTGATTATTAATTGTTGCTGTCCTCTAGCTTCAGGAAGCTCCTTGTGGTTCCCAGCATGGTAAAGGAAGGGATGCTGGAAAGGATCAATAGTTGTGGGTTCAGACTCTCTCCTCATGGATGGACTGCCTTCTGTCTCTAGGGTTTGATGTGTCTGTTTTTTTTTTTTTTCTTTTTTAGAGTGGGGAAATATTGACATGTATTTCTTTAAAATACGTGTGAAGTATTTCATATAGTTTCTTATTTAATTCTTAATTATCTCATGCCCAAAGCAAGGGGGTGGCCCTTGGTTACTTTCCTTAGTATTGTATGATTTCTTCATTGGAAAAGCCTCTGTGAACAAGCCATGTATATGTCTTTTTCCTTTCAGAAACCAAACTTTCATTATCCTGCACCTGGTCTTGCAAGGGATGGTTTACGCTGAATATACCTGGGAAATAATTGTCTACTGTCAAGAGCTGGAGTTCTCCTTGGATTACCTTCTTCTGCCCTACCTGCTGTTGATTGTGAACCTGTTTTTTTTCACCCTAACTTGTGCAACCAATCCTGGTAAGTTGAGGCGCTTTGTATACAGACTGGTAACAGCTCAACTGTCTTGCTGATAGTGCTGTAAACAGGTAGTGGTCCCCCTAAGGACTTTGCAAAAGATTTGATATGTGGTATTTTTATTATCTTTCAGTTTTGAGTATTTTCTAATTTTATTTTATTCTTCTTTGACCCATGGGTTATTTAGAATTGCTCAAATTTTTCCACTATACTTTTTAAAAAGGTTTATCTTTTTGATACTTTCACTTCCTTGTGTTATATATAGAGCTTGGGTCTCTATGGTACTGTTTCTTTTAAAAAATTTATTGATACTTGTATTATGACAGGGCATGTGGTTTTTGTAAGTGATCCATGTGTGCTAGAAAGAGTATGTATTTTTTAGTTCTTGGGCAAAGAGGACCATGTAATTCCATTACATCAACGTTGTTAATTATGTTCAAATATTTTATATCCATATTAATTTTTTGTTTGTTTTATCAATCAATTGCTGAGAATGGTATGTTACCTCATTCTGAGGGTAGACTTGACAGATTTCTCCTTGTAGTCAGTCACTTTTTGCTTCATATTTTGAAACTAATATATATTTTATTTTTTTTCTTATTAAATGCAGTCAAATTTAGAATTAGTATTGTCTCTTCCTGATAAATTGAATCTTATTTTAAAATATAGTGAGCCCCTTTTGAAGGAGTGCACGGACAAAAGAATCACGCAAGACCCGGGCTAACAGTTCGCCAAAGAAGTTCCGCTTTATTCAAGGACTGCGCGTACATTTATAGGGAGCTGCGTTCCGGGTTTGGATAGGGGGTGGATGGGGCGGTAGCTGATTGGACGGGGCTGGGCAGGAGGTGAGCCTTGACTTGTGACTGGCTGAGGTTTGGCACGGGTGGGCTTGGGTGTTGGCGCCGACGGGCTTTGTTTACTGCGAAGAAGAACCCGGAAGGGCGACATATTGCTAGGGAGTGCTTTTCCCCTCCCCCTCCGCTTGAATGCCCACGGTATCCTTACATTCGAGTGCCTATGGTATCCTTACATTCCTCCCTTTTTCCTCTGTTGTGGGAATGGGTCGCCGTGATCTTCGAG